CAGTTTCCTGTGTTTTCCGGTCAGTTTTCTGTGTTTTACATCTGGAAGTTGATCGGAATCTACAGGAAGAAAATCCGGTAACTTCCAACTGGAATACTGCTTCCACTTTCCAGCGCTTTCCTGTGCTTTCCGGCCGTTTCCCGCCGTACGTCCACGACTTGGGTAGAACTGAAGGTCAATGCTGATATTCTATCTAAAATTATACAAGAACAAAAGCAAGAAATAAATGGTTTACGACACAATTTAAATAAGGTGCAGAAAAACTTCGTAAAATTACAACATGATTATGCAGAAGAAAAGTTAATGAATGAACAATTAAGACAAAATCAAAATGATTTAATTAGCCAAATGAAAAAAAAAGATAAGGTACGAACGTAGTTCTTTCATAATCATTAAATAATTTCGTTTTTATATAGGAAAACGAAGATCTTCAAGAACAAGTACGTGATCTTCTCATTCATTTTAGGAGTGAAACAGAATTGATGAATTTACAAATGGCAGATGAACTTGAAACAAGTCAAATAGTTGTTCGTCCGTCATTAAATAAAACAAGACGACGAAACGAAAAATAATTTCTTTTTTGTAAAATTAAATTTATTTAATAAATAAAATAATAATGTAGAATATATTTTGATTGGATGACAGTATTTGGTTGAAGAAAAATTTTTGACGATTCAAATATAACAAGATTTCATGTAATAGAGACTAAGTCAACACGAAGATTTTATTAAAGAAAAATAGTCGAATATTTCTGTTTTAAAAATATGATTTTTTTAGCATTTCAATTGATTTGTCCAATGAAATCAAGTATACGATGTATTTAATGAGGCAAATCGTCACGTGAGATCAGTATTTATCGATATCCGATCTATGTTATTTTACCTATTGAAATAAAGACTCGAATCCACTGATCAGAATCACATGAGAATAAAGTTCGATCTTCTCTTTGCATAGATCATCAATGAATTCAATTTATTTCAAGTAGATATGATAAGACTTCACCTGAGTTAAATGATCCTATTTTTATATTAAACATTGTTTTGAAAATACAAAAGGAAGATTTTTAAAAAGAAAAAACAAGGCAAGTTTATTGCAAAAGAAATAGTTTAAAGTGAACTCGTCGTTGTATGATGTCGGTAATCATGTATGAAATTATTAAGATTTTCTGCAAATGATGGTAAATCCTAAAATAGAAAATGAATATCAGTTTTTCTTTCTAATTTAATTAATATTCACAAACCGTTTCATTTCGACCATAATTTTCTAATAGAGCATGTTTATATTTGTCACTTAAAACTATTTTTATATTTGATTGTTCTAAATAATTCTGAATAAAATAAACGAAATTATTCGTTTTATCATTTGTTAATATATAAAATAATGTTGATATAATATCATCCCGACATAGTTCATGAGATCGAACAAGTAAAACCGTAAGTAAAAGGGATAGCAATGCTTGAGACATGTGTTGATGAAATATTGATTTTGTATAGAGACCACATTTTAATTGAAGTTCATTACACGATGATAAATTTGTACGAAATTGTTCTATATCGGATTGAGAAAATGACCATGCAATACTCTAGATAAGTAAAATATTTATGAATTTTACTCGTAATGACGAAAAAAAACCATCTTGTTCTACCTCCATTAATTGAATAAAACTATGTTCATTAGCAGTTGTTTCAGTATCTCCATTCAATGTTGTTAAAACATTTCCTTTGAAAAAATATCGCCAATTATTAATTAATAGATTATGAACAAGTTTATAATAATTCTCTCGAATATCTAAAGCAAAATTCTAAACAAATCAAAAATTAATAATATCGTAATATAACAGAAAAACTCACTTCACAAATGGCTGGATATAAAGCTGTTGTACATAATTCAATGATTGTAGGTAGAAATCGTTGTGCTAATTTACTATTTCCTGGCTCATTAACAAGTATTGAGAGAAACTCAAGAAATCTAAATAAAAAAATATTTTTTCTTCAAATAAAATAATATATTGAGTTTAAACAATTTAATTTACCTTGAAACAGCTGTATGAGCTGTTGGTTTAGGTTCGCGAAGAACATTTCGAATATTTTCACTAAATAAAAATAAAAATAAAAGTTCAGAGTTTCTATTTTATAAAATCAAATCGCTACAGACATATTAAATACAGAAAATGATGTTTGTAAAATAGTATTGATTAATTCTGTACCCATTTGTGTTCGCAGTATTTCAAAGCAAGTTAATAATAATGATATAAGTACTGTTTCACATTCTATAAAGAAAAATTTACTTATTCTATATCATAATAGGATGTTTTAAAGGCAAACGATTCTAACCTGTATCGCGATTGATAATAACAGATAGGAAAAGATTTAAATTTATAATTAAATGTTGTATTGATGAAAAAAGATGCTGACGTATTTTATTATTTTCTGTACGAATGGATTCAATTACTTCTGTAAGTAATATTGTATATTCAAGAAATGTACGACGCAGTGAACCGGGTTCCTGTTGTTGATTGAAAAAAGTTGTTGGCTCACTCAAAATTATATTTAACGGTTGGAAAATTGTACGCAAAAAATGTTCCGCTGATTGTTGTTCTGTTAATATTAGTAATAGTACTATTTTTATGGATAATTTGTAAAGCTAAACAAAAATCGGACACATATTCATCTTAATGAAATTTTAAATAAATAGAAAATATTTTACTTGAAAATTAGTTTTTAAGTTAGACATAACATTCCATGACAAAATACGATGGATTAAATGTTTAATTGAATTCATTTCATTGAAACTCATATGCTGGCGAGTTAGAGGAATAAGAGAACTAAGAATAGAACCAACTGATATAGAAATAGATTTATCGTAGTTCTACAACAGATATTTAAAATTATATAAATCATTTTTTAATCGTTTTATACATACATTACTATCGATTAGAGGTGCACAATTATCAATAATATGTGCGATTAATTCTTGAATCAACCGACGATTATCTTGATTGGAATTATGTAGTACTAACATTTGACTAAGCCATTGACTTAAATTGTTGACACATTCAAAAGCTCGTGTTTGACTAAAAATAATCAGTTATGAATATTTTGAAAGAGGAGTTCAGACAAAATAATACTTACACATTAATAAACTCATTTTGTAACTGTTTTGATGAACAATGTATTAAATCAAATCGAATATGAATTATATAAATAATTAATTGAACAAATCTTTAACAGAAATTCAATCAATATTGCCTATATAGGATTTTACTGTTGTAATTTGTTTTTTTCTTACTGATGTACAAGTGTTAATCTAGTTTGAAAATGACTTTGTTGTTGATTGTTATTATCCAGTAGACATGAATTTGCAATACGTGAAAATGTATAAAGTAAATAATTAAGACTATTTAATACTTGACTGCAAACACGCATAGATTCATCATTTATTAATAGATATTGCTGTGAAGAATCTAATAATAAAAAAAAGACAAGAAATCAAAATAATTTTAGTTTTGTTGAAAAATTATTACCTGGTGAAGTTTGAATTAATTTTTGCATGCTTTTATATTTTTCAATATCAGGTTGTAAAAGAGTTACCTAAATAAATCACATAGAAAGAAAAATGAAAGATACCGAGTCGAAATTTTTCTTACCAATAGATTTAAAATGTTTGATGAAAGAATAGGAATGTCAGCTAATTTACTAAGTATATCGACAGATTCTCGTATATATCGATCAATTGCTGTTTCAGACTAGAATAAACAAAAATAATGGATACGAATGCATGAGAGTATTTATACATCATTTAAATCAGTAGTTTCTTCTAAGTTGTTTATAATTGTTTGTCCATTATGAATTCGATGTATCAATTCTTGACTTAATGAACTTAAAACTTGAGAATATCTAACGGAAAGATTTTTCATTTTATGTAATGATTAAATTAGAAAATAAATCATATATTACTTTTCTAATGAATTCTCTTTATTCATAATTCGAATTTCATCATTTGTTTTTATATATTCAATAAATATGGACCAAATATCCAAACAAGCATAAAATCCATCTTGCGTTGTCTATTTTATTAGAAAAACAAAATTTTTACTTTTAAATTTAAAAAAAGCAAAATGATGGATTTGTTACTTGTTGCAAAGTAAATTTATAGAAGCCAGTTAATAATTCAAACATTGGAAAATTCTCAATAGATTCACATCGTTTTAAATGTAAATTAAATAACGAATGTAAAATTTCAGTTAGTTTATTTATAATTGTTGCCGATAGATTTTGCTCGACAATTAAAATCAATTGAATAACATGACGAAGTGATGCATGAAGAATGGCATCATATTGTCGTGGTAGATGTTGTTTTAGTATTAATTCATGAATACAATTTAGAGCATCTATGGACCATGTTGATAATGCATATTGAAATAGATCATTGATTAATTGTGATGGTAATGGAAGAATTGAAAGACGATTTATAAGACGATCCAAACATTTTAATACCTGTTGTTTTATTAATAATGCATCTAAAGTATAGAGATTGTCAAAAAAAAACAGAAATAACAACAGCTTAACAAATAAAAATTGAAAATTACCTTTTAATTCATGATCCTGTTTATTTATTAGAACATGAATAATTTGAAGAATATGTGGTACATGTTGATTGAGTATAGTTTTTAATTGATTGCATCGTTTTATAGTACAATCTTCATTCAATTGACCAAGTTCTTCGATGGTGGTCGTTAAAAGTAATAAACCCAAAAATGGTTGTGTTTCCATTAACTATAATTAAACGTAAAAAAGAAAACGATAATAATTTTCTGTTAGCATTAGTAATCAACACTGACCTTACGTGATAACAAGTTTGAAAATATTCATCGAATGGCCATTGAATATCACAACGAACAATTTGTACAATAAGTAAACACAATTTCGAACGAACAAAGACAGGGATTGCATCAAATAGATGAAGAAAGAGCCACAGAAGTATCTGACGAATTTGTTGTTGATCGCCGTAACGATGACGAATTGAGTGTTCAAGTACTTGAAGTAAAAAATAGATTAGTAGTGGTGATAGCACTACGTTTTGATGTTGTTGTTGTTGTTGTTGTTGGAATGTTGCTAATGCTATTTGCCAGGAATTTGGATCAATTAAAAATCTATTTAATTGTTCATGTAAATGTTGTTTATGAACAAGATCTATACGTGGATCATGATAATCTGCTAGAGCTTTAGCTAAATCCTCCATAAAATCTATAAATTCAAATTCAAATAAATAAGATTTATCTTTCATATTCAATGTTTATTTATAGAATAAGCATTTATATAGAATATACATTTATGAATTATCTCCTGCTCTGGTTCACTATATATTTATCAGTCATGAGGAGATAAAAGATTGAAAAATGTCTTTAAAATAATTTAAAGTGTTTTTGCTTCTTTTTATTTTAAATTAATTGTTGACAAAACGGAATCATTGTCATTTTCAGTTTCTGTTGTATCTTCAAGTGACTTGTTCTTTTTATTTGAATTTACAAACTCTTTTAGAAGGTGTTCAACATTTGGATCATTCTTCAATGCACTTGTAAATACACAACCGATAAATATATGAGTTCCTAAAATGAAAAGAAAAAGATACAATTGAGGTTTTTCTGTATTGTTGAACAAATTTTTTCTATAAAAAAAAAAGCAAAGTTCATACTCACCATGTTGTAAATGTTCAACAACCCGACAGCAACCTAAATCTACAATATTGATACCAAAATAACGATAACGTTCATCAGTTTCAAATAACGTATCTGCTGTATGTGGACCATAATAAGGACGACCACTTGATGGATCGATAAAATCAGCCCAATACTGTTTTCCAGCTAAATAAGCACACATTTCATGTGCCAGCTTAATAAATTGATCTGTTAATTCATTTCTTTCTTCTTCGATTTTAGGGGACCACGTTGACATATCCGAATTTGTTTTTAATATAATTGTTATGGCTGTTAATGGTTGCATTAAAACATTATAATTTAAAAAAAGACGATGCAATTCATAGCGTAATAATGATGGGCAATCGTATGCACGAATTTCTAAATTTTCATGATTAATTAAATTCGAAAGAAATTCTTTCTTATTCGTTGGTGAAGATAATACCATATGAGTACCCATTAGCTGTGTTATGGAATCTTTTTGATGATCAACCGGTAGAGTCATTGTTAATAGTTCGTCCAGAATAAGTTTACCATCAATACCGTAACGTTTTGGGTCAAGTTTTGCGGTGGACTGTGCAGGAATATGCTTGTTTTGTTGATTACGATCGGGTCCAATACGTCCGGGTATTGGAAAACGTGGATCAGGTGGTTTTATTGATAGATATGTTGTATCGACAACTAATGGAGGAACGGGTAATTTATTTTTTGCAGTTAAATATGATGCGTCTAATTGATCAACTAAATCGAGTAAAGCACGCAGTGTTTTTCTTTCGACAATACGTGCTTTGATATCAAATGATTTTGGTTTAAATGATGATAAGCGACGTACGATAGAAAGTGAGAGTAATGATTGAGGACGAATATGTGCCAGAAAGCGATCCATTGTAATCTAAAATTGACCGAGTGTATGCATTGCTTCGCTTTTACTTAGCTCTTCAAATAGAAATAATAATCATGTGCCTCGCCTGTATGAGTCACGATACTGTTTATTGCTTCATGCTCATTCGCTAGTTGTCTACCATCGCGTTCGTTATTTGCTCGTTTTCTTTCCTCCTTCTTGTATCAATAGAGCATATATGCTATATACGATACTGTTGCTATACTAGGAGGCGCACATTACTACTATGAAGTGGTTTGTTTTACTACTTCTGTATACAAATCTAATAAAACAAGGCCAAAGTAAAAATGATCAAAATTTCCCTTTTCGAAATATTTCTCTTGACTGGTCAGTACGAGTTGATGATCTTGTATCACGACTTACTCCACATGAAATCATTGATCAAATGGCATATGGAGGTGGCTGGAACGAAGGTGTCACACCTCCTATAGCACGATTGAATATTAAACCTTATTCATGGGGTACTGAATGTTTACGCGGTGATGTCAGTGAAAATTCGACAGGATTTCCACAAGCAATTAATCTTGCATCAACATGGAATAAACAATTAGTAAAAGCTGTAGCAAATGCAACAGCTTATGAAGTTCATGCACACTATAATCGTTATCAACAAGAAGGTCTATATGGTGTGCATCGTGGTTTGAGTTGTTTTTCACCAGTTATTAATATAATGCGGCATCCATTATGGGGTCGAAATCAAGAAACTTACGGTGAATGCCCTTATCTATCAGGAATGTTTGCTATTCATTTTGTTCGTGGTCTTCAAGGACCCTCCTCGGCACGTTATCTCAATACAAATGCAGGCTGTAAACATTTTGATGTACATAATGGACCAGAAAACATTCCTGAATCACGGTTTTCATTTGATGCACATTTGTCAGAATTTGATTGGCGTTCAACATTTCTTCCAGCATTTCATGCTTGTGTAAATGCAGGTAGCTATGGTATAATGTGTTCATATAATTCTATAAATGGAATTCCATCATGTGCAAATAATCGCCTATTAACTGATATACTTCGTACGGGCATGAATTTTACGGGTTATGTTATTGCAGATGATGATGCTTTAATATCGATTCATACGAGTCATCATTATGTGGATACGAATGAAGAAGCAGCTATTGTTGCATTACAAGCTGGTGTTAATTTAGAATTATCTGATTCACCGGGCGCAACAATGTTTGAATTATTACATCAAGCCTATGATGAAGGAAAAATCGATGCTGAAATATTAATTGAACGTGTTAAACCATTAATGTATACACGCATGCGTCTGGGAGAATTTGATCCTATCGAAATGAATGATTATAATAAAATCTCTATGGATGTAATACAATCTGATTTACATCGAAATTTAGCACGACAAACAACACTTCAATCATTTGTTTTACTTAAAAATCAAGAAGATCTATTACCAATTCGTAATCGAAAACAATTTCCTAATGTACTTTTCCTGGGACCTATGTCGAATAATCCTGTACAACAATATGGTGATTATTCTCCTATTGTTAATGCATATTATGTAACAACGCCATTAAGTTCATTACAAGATAGTTTTTTCAATACTAGCTATAATGAAGCTTGTTTAGATGGAGCACGTTGTTTACAATATAATCAAACAGATACAATAAATTATTTAAAAGATAATTATTTTGATTTAATTATATTATCGTTAGGTACAGGACAAGATATTGAATCCGAAGGAAATGATCGTGCAACAATGGATTTACCTAATAATCAATCACAATTACTTGAAGATGTTCTTAGAACGCTTGAAGGACGTAAAACAAAAATTCTTCTATTCATTATATCTGGTACTCCACTTGATATTCAATTAGCTCAAGAATCAAACCAAATACAAGCAATATTACATTTAGGTTTTGGTGCACAAGAATTAGGTGAAGCACTTCGATTGGCCATTATTGATGATGGAATTTCTAAATTTGGCCGACTACCTTATACATGGCCAAAAAAGTTAAGCGATTTACCAGGTGATATAACACGATATGATATGACAAGTGGTTTCACTTATCGATATTCAAATGTTGAACCACTTTATCGATTTGGCTATGGTTTATCTTATTCTAGTTTTTTCTATTATGATCTCAGTTTTAATGCAACAAACATACAGTCAGGTGATGGCCTCACAATTTATTTTACGATTAAAAATACGGGTGATCGAATATCAGATGAAATTGTTCAAGTTTATTTAAGTATACATTTAAAAAATACATCGTTATCAAATGTATCACGCGCACAATTAGTTGATTTCGAACGTTTGTCAGATATAAACCCATCGGAAATTATTCTTTATCAAACTATTATAAGCCGAGAACAAATGGCTGTTTATATTGATGGAAAAGGTTTTCTTATTGTTCCAGCTACGTTAGAATTTAAAATAGGAGATTTTATTCAACCATATCTATCTGGAAATGTAACTATTGATGGTGAATTTTATTATGCTGGTCAATACATTTCCTATGCAAGTACATAGAAGAAAAACAGTGCAATTTAAGTAATGTCTGTGATTTTTTTCTCTTTGTTCATTGACCATTGCATTTTTAATTTTGTTTTGTATTCATATTTTTTTTTAAAGGAATAACAAGATTGCTAAGATAAAAAAAAAGAAACACTAGGTTCTTCGCCTATCCAAAACAGATAAGATACAAGAGGAAGTCCGATAGCAAGAATATATCACTGTAAATATTTAACAACGAGCTTAAATAATTAATAAAAAAAAAACGAAATTTACTAGAAAAAGAAATAAGAAGCAAAAATAAAAGCGAAGCCACATGTTATTTTTTTTTCTTAGGTAATTTATTAACAAAAAAGCCGAACTAACGTAAAAGGATCTAATACCAGAGAAAAAAAAAGTATATTCTAATAGAACCGTTTACGTTGATATTGTCGTCTGTCAAAATAATAGTATGCGCCAATCCCCACAGCCAGACAAACAAGAATTAAAAACATAATAAGAAAGAATATTTTTAGTGCTGACCATCCCGATCCTTTTGGATCATCAGTATGTGGACGTTCAGGTTCAGCTGATGGAGCATTCGGTATAATATTTTGACGATTTTCTGTCCGCCGTTGTTCACTCGTTTCTAACTGATATGTATGTACGGATATAATATCATGATTGTCACTTAAATCACCTGTTGCTGCTGAAAAACCAAAATAATAATGTGTAGGTAATCGAACATCGGATACTGCAAAACATTCTTTCCAAATATTTTTTCCTTCAATATCAGTCGAAACAGTTAAACGATCATTTTGATAACGAATAGCAACAAGTGTATCTGTGTCTCGACCACGGAATTGTGCTTCACAACCAGCTAAAGATGTATGTGTACCATCACGGTCATGATCATAATGAAGTGAACCATTGTTGATCATAGCTGATATATAAGGATGAGCATGCTAAAAGAAAAACAACATTTTGTTTCATCAATATTTATCAAATAACAAGTTATAATCGTTACATTATGTGGTCCGTTATGATTCGAATAGGTATCCATAATAATAGCTAATCCATGAAAATAATCTTGATAACCAAAAACAGGACCTGAAAATAAAACAAATAAAAGATATTTTCATTGAAATTTGAAAATAAACTTTCTAATCTAACCAAACAATAAACTCCAGGCATTGTTACTCACCTCCTAATTTTGGATCTCTGGCATACCAAATAGCAAAACCATCACCAAATAATTCTTTTCCGCTACCATGTACTTTAAAGTGAACATGCATTTCCCAATCTGGATAACTAACTGGTATTATATTCCATAAACCACCGACTTTACTTTGTGAATCTGATGTTAAACGAATATGTCGATCAGTAACTAATGTATTTCCAACTAAATGCCAATACGAATTAGAGGTAGAAAAAACTAGAACAGAGAAGTACGTGAGTGGAAAATTACTAAATGATTAAAACATACCAGATGGATATGGACGATTGAGACTATGTTCACGGATTTCATAAGAACCGGGATTGTTTCCTGTATCTTGTTCAAATGTGAGATGAATAGAAAGAATGAGAAAAAGTGCAGCAATCAATTTGGAATACATCTGAGAATAAAAATCAATTAATTTCGTTTCAATTTGACTGCAAAAGAATGAAAAACAAAAAATGAATACTTGAAATGTAACTTACGTCTATATGCATTCACATTTGGAATAATTTGATTGGATAAAAAATTTAATTGTCGATTATAATAAAAGAAAAAAGTTTGAATAAATATAAGAAAGAAACTTCAAATAAAATATATGTTTTTTTTGAAGGGCAAAAAAGAAAATAATCGATAAAGATTCATAAACGACGACAACTATGATCGATCACTCCTATTGGTTGTTGTGTATTCTATCTAGGAAAAAAGAACTGAACTGGACAATTCCATGACTTATATTTATCTACGAAATAGTTTTCGACTAGTTCAGTAATATTGAGCATTCACATCGTATCATTTATCAATTGGAATATTTGTCTACTGAAAAATCAATTGTATTGTGTTATTCATTGTCTTACATTATATTTTACGAAATTACTTACAATGATGATGTAAATTTTATTCCTTCAATATTTATTTTGCGAGATTTGATATTTACGCTGAGACAAAATTTCAAATTGAGTTTTAATAGATAGTTTCTACTTACATGAAGATTAGACAATAGAATAAATAAACTAAAGGTCGCTATTCCGATTATTTCTCAAACTTTTTGTTTTTAGAGAAATAGGGTTTTTCTGGAGCTGGAATGAGTTTAAAAAGTAAATAAAATTAAAAAAAACTATCCATTTAGCTTTCATTTTACGACTAAGCTATTAGTTTCACTTTTTTTGAAACACTAGATAAAATTTTCCCGTCGAGAAAGCATACATAATTTTCAAAGAAATTCATCAGACTTAAACTGACATAATTGGAAAAGAAAATTTTCTCTTTCTAAATCCTTTTCTCTAGAAGATCCAGTAGAAACGGTTAGGTGCAATTCTGAGAAATCTACATAAAATGATTTAATTCAAAAAAAAAAACTCGATAAACACTAATTTTCATCTTCCTCTGATGAAACGACTTCAATGGCTCATACTCGATGTATATACTGTTGTGCAAAATTTGTATTTTTTTGGCAAGAGATCGATAAAAGTCAGCAATCAGTCGTGAAAAATATCATCAGGTCATGAATCTACATTAGTCTAACCGTTTAAACCGTCGATCATGAACACCGTAAAATATAGTGTCCAGGATCGATTCTCGATGGGGGAACAAAAAAAAGGATACATGATTTTCTGTGATGACAACTATAGATGACGAGTTGGAATAGTAGGATTTATCTTACTTTGACACAAAAAACGAGGCATTTGTCTGAGAAAATCCTTTTTTGTATAATAAATTATTAGATAATAATTATTTCTTCATTTTAACGTTCTAGATTATTTTCTTATTGATGATGGACTTAAACAATGTTTGGTTTGAAACAACAAATTATCCTATAATTGTAAGTAATATTTAATTATTTAGATCTGAAAATAATTTCGACATGAATAGATTTTCTATTTATTAACCGAACATTTTCTAGCTCAATATTCAATATATCGTCATTAATTTCAACAATCCCCCATACGATCATGAAGGTATGCTGGTGGATTATTCATTATTTCATAGAAATAATAATAATGCAGGATGAACAAATTTTCTATTTTTAGTTAATATATATAGGTTCTGATATCGGAGAGGATTTCTCTATCTGTAACTTCAGTACTCATCTAATTGAATGGCACAAAGCAATCTTTTTTCCTTTCTGTTAAGAAATAAAAGATTGAAAATACGGTGAATATATCAGAGAAAAAAATCTGAATGACTCAAAAGCAGTTTTTCATATTATTTTTTCTACGAAAAAATTTTTCAAGTTCATTTATGTTAATACAGTGCTTTAGTAATGAATCCGCGCGGGAAATAAATGCAGGCTTAAAAAGTCGACACATGGTAGTCAACTATATCTTTTCAATTTGAATCTGGCTAGAGCCTATCTGTGGTATTGAGGTTAGTGAAATTTGTGTTGGTAGTAAGACTACTAGAAAACAAAACATTTTCCTATAGTCTGTGATTGTTGAATGTTTTGTTTAAAAATGGACGGATATGTATTGTACAAGTCGAACATATTCGAGTGAAATTTTAAATATTAACTACTTTCAAAGAATGGACAATGAGTTACTCGAATTATGAGATGTGCATAGTATATATTTTACTATCATGTCTTTATTGGTTCAGTATTTTTAGTAAGCTCATAATCCTCTTCCTTTGATAATATGAAGGAACTATTTCAGAATCTAGACTAAATATATTCCAGTTGCAAATTCTCGCACAGGGATTCAATAGTTCTTAATTGAGATCCAAAATTTGTTAATCCTGCAAATAGACATTCCGTTTAAGCAGAATCTCACATATTTTTATTTTCTTGTTTTAGGATCATCATCAACAACAGCAAACTTATGTAACAAAGCATGATCTAAATTTATTACATAAAAAAATTATTGCTACAGAGTAAGTTTGAATATTTGAAGATGTTCGTAAATATTTATGAATTAATATTTTTCATTTAGTTTAATTGTCCAAAAATATCAAGATGCAAATAAAGCTCTATTAAGATTACAAACCGAAAATGATGATTTCAAGCAACAGATAGAACAAATTACAAAGTAAAATTTATTTTTCATATTATGTCTTTTTAATCAAGTTTTCTCTTTAGTGAGTGTTGTATATTTGGTAAACAAGTGACAGAATGCACTCAAGAATGTGATCATCTAAAAGAAGTAAATTGATTTTTGTACGTCGATTTGTTTTTATTTTTATTTTTTTCTTCTAGCAAATTGACATATTAAATAGTGAAAAACGTGAATTACATCAACAATTGCGTGTATTACAAGATGAAAATACGAATAATTATCATGAAATAATGGTTCTAGTAAGTCCTATTAAATAAATGAATTGTTCACTATAAATAATTGTATTGTTTCATCTAGAGACAATATGAATCATTAAAACAAACTAATGATCACTTAAGTAAAACTGTTGAACGGCAACAAAAACAGGTCGCAAAATTACAACTTCAAGTACAAAGAAAGACGCCAATTGTTTATAAGTAAGAGAGAATGAAATTTTCAAAAACAAATACATAAAATTCTTTTTTCATTTAGACCAAATAAAGATAAAAATGAACCATCGGAAACAGGTAAGAAAAAAACTAAAGATTATTGACTGGGCTAGTATAATTTTTTTTCTATTTAGATATTGCTTTAAAAAATTCACAAAAATCAGTTCGTGAACTGAAATTAGCACTTGCTCGTCTTATGAACTTTATTCAAAGATCTAGTAAGATTAAATTATTTATTAGAATTATCATTTATAATTTTCTTTAAATTTTAGAAATTGAAATTCCAACCGCTCTTCATATCCGACCGGTGCTTAAGGCGCATGACATAAATGATGGTAAAATAGATATTTTCTTTAAAAAAAAAACTTTTTCTATATTAATTATGATTTTTATTTAGATTTTTTAGAAATCGAAGGTGAATATGTTCTTAAACCAGTGAAAAAAATATCAGTAAGTTATTTAATTTTAAGGTTTTCTTTCTCATATATTTATTCATTTTTGAATAGAAACCCGTTATTAGTCAAGCGGATGATGTTGATGATGATGATGATGACGATGATGATGATCATGGTGACTTTATTGATATTACACATAATCCTGTCCAACCTGAACCTGTAAATATACCTGATCCACCTGTAGATGCTATTAAAACAACTTCAAAATCTTCTTCTCGTCAACAACCGAAAAAGAAAGAAGCGCCGAAAACAAAACCTACAAAGAAGCCAGCGAGCAATAGTCGTCGAAAAAAAGTTGTATCTATAACAGAAGATCCATCGGAAAAATTAGATGATCTTGCTAATGAACTTGAAATCGCTTTATCACAAACAAATCAAGAGCAACCATCACAAAATATGCCTCATATGACATCGTTTCTTAGTGATGACGATGACGAAGATAGAATACATAAGTCAGATACACCATCATTACCAATGTATATGCCTACTAGTTTACAATCCTCATCGAAGTTTTCTCCAAAAACGAATTCAACAATAACAATGATAGATAAATCAGCGAAAAAACGTTCAAGAGTGTTGTCATTTTCTAGTGATGATGAGTATGTACAAGAAAAATCAGCAACTATTACTGTACAACACACGGTGCCAACATTATCTACGTTGCAAGTTGATCATATTACTGCAATGGATGTTGACACATTGGATAAACCTACAAAATATATGTCATGTCTTAGTGAAGATGATGATGATAATAGATCACTTACGCCAATATCAACACCTATTAATGAACGACAACCAATCTATCAAGAATATATATCTCCGTTAGATTTAAATCCACCGATATTCAACAATGAAACTACTATTGAAACTCAATCGTCAGATAAACAAATACCAATGGATACTGTTATAGCTGATTTAGTACAAGCACCTTTATTATCAAACCCACAAGTAGAACCAATGTCTGAAAATGATCAAAATTCATCATCAAATGATAATATTCAAACAGAATCTTCTATAGTTGTCAATACTCTTGATTCAAATCGTATTAAAATTATTTCACATTTATTAAATATTTTAACACAACCACCAATACCATTGAAACGATTACGATTAATTCAATGTCGTATAAAAGACAAAACTATTCCGGAAACACAAATTGATCTATTACGAGTTAATGCATCTAATGATAAACATGAAGATTCAACAATTATTCAAATATCAAAACAATCAGTTCCTGAACTAATAGAACAACAGACATCCATTGAAGAAAACAGTTTTATAATGAATAATAAACAGGATAATGACACATTTCTACCTAGCGAAGACCAACCTGTGACTTCCAAAGAAAATAATACAATGATTGAAGAAATATCCAATCAACAAAATGATATATCAATCGAAGAACATTCAAAAACGATTATCAAGAATACTAATGCAGTTGTTGATGTACCAGTCAATGTGATTTCTGCGCCATTAGCAGAAGAATTAATAGCTATGGATGAACATATTACTAAAAACAACGATGTATCAAAAGATCAAGTTACGACTATATCAACAGAAGTGTGTTCGGCATCAATTATAGAAAATAATGTTTTATTAGTTCATGAGCCAGAAATTCAAACTTCTATTCTCACTGGCCAGCAACTAGAAGCTTCTCAAGAACTTGATATTGTAATCGACGAGGCATCAAAAGATCAAACTTCAATATCAATACATGAAAATCTCACACGTGCTGAAGAACAAAATCCATTAGTCCTAGAAATACAGAAAAGGCCTGTTGAACACACTCGACCTAACCGTACGTTGCTTCTTCATACAAGCGTTTATGGGAAACTTTCATTTTATTCTTTAGAACAATCAAAAACAACGAAGAAGACATCAACGAAACCACTATCTCAAGAATATGAGGTAATTATATAATTTTAATGAAATATGTTCTTTTCTATAAATTTCTTTTCTAGCCGTATGTTGTACCAATAGCAGTCAAACAATCGTTACCATCTAGCACTAAACCAGTACTTCAACCAGTTTTAGGTAGTTCATATCTTATATCTATTCTTCAAATTTTATTCTCGTTTTTATTATTTTAGAACGCTTCAAGCAGCCTTTAAAACCTTTTCAAATTTCAGTTATTACTCGTCTCCTTCACGTATTAACTGAACTACCTGTGAAACCTCTGACATTTCCAATGCCATATCCTTCACGGAAAAGAAAAGATAAAATCGCTGTAAGTAAGCCTCGTGTTATTCGTCCAGAACGAATACCGCCGACTTCATCAAATCGCATGCACACTCGATCATTCAATTCAATTCGATCATGCATAGCACGTTGTAATCAACCAACGACAGCAAATCGTAAACGTACAGCTACAGAATCCATAGCATCTTTACCTCCAATACCAAAACGAATGAAATCGATAAGAAACGAACAACAGATTCAAACAAATGAATACGATCTGATTCATAAATTTATCGATTCATTATCAAAAGAAATTAATGATGATACAAGAAATTTTCTTCAACGAAAATTAAATGAAAATATTCTACTATTCAATGATAATATATATCGAATTTTTAGTGATTTATTGTTTTCCAAATGTGATATTATTCTTCTACTAGTCAAAGAACTTCATGCGTATGAAGAATCAATTAGAACACTATTAGTATATATTCACAGTCAATCATCAGTATTTCAACAACATTTTATCACTAAATTAACACAAGCATTTGAATTCGAAATAAAAAAACAGTCAATACAACATAATCAAATTAAAATTTTAAAGTAAGTATTAAACAAAGAATTTCTTTAAAAAATTCTCGTAAAAGATAATATTTCATTCCGATGAACGTGTCAGATCGAAAACATGTTAAAATGATGGAAACTAGATAATAATTACTAGACACTTTATTTATTTCTTAATAGACTTTACTTACTGACAAAAGCTTCACTTCACAGAGCTTTTGCCAGATGAAATAGTTCTCACGTTAGAATCTCACTGATTACGATGCAATAGTTTTCGATAGTCAATACATTAAAAGATCCCGCACATACAAAGAGTTAAATCAATCTGCTGTTGGTCACCCAACTGTATTGAACCATATTTAGATCGAGTCTTGACAAGCTAACACCAAGAGATAAAATGAAAGAATTTCCATCATTATTGTAATCATCTCATTTATTATCTTGAATTCCATTGGAAATCAGAATGGTACGTTGAGTTTATACAGGGGCGTTTTCGTGAGGTTTTTATGTCAAAAATCGATTGATGGTATGAAAGTAATTAGATAGCGAATTTGAGCATATAATAGTGTCTATCTTTTGACAACTTTGAAATTTCAATAGAATAAATAGGTTGAGAAAAGTCATCATACACCAAATTGATTTATTATGTGATTCTTTCTACAGCAAGACTTTTAATACTCATATGTATGATGATGATTAGACTCATTTGATTTGACGTTTTTAACCATGAAACTTCAAAAATTGGATATTTTCCCCCGAAATTCTAAACGCAAATAAAGAACATCGTATAATTCTATTCTAAATTTAATAACATCGTTGGATATATTACGTCTATTTTTAGACAAAATACAATAATATATATTTTTATGTACCATGTAGATTAATAACCCCTCGAAAGTATTTCTAATTGATAAAAGAAAGTAGAACAAATCATTCTATATACTCTCGCTGTTTCATTTCCTTATATAATTCACTAAATTTGTATTTTTTGTTTAGTCGATTATTCTTTCTCACGTACTCAATATTTCCAACATCATCCATCGCTATTTATGCACGGCTATTTGATATAGGCTATTATTTATCACATGATATTCTTGTTGATGCATTAAAATTTACTTCAACTGTATGTTCATCATTAATTTCAAATGATTCTCAAAAGAAATCATCAAGCATTTTACTTCATCAACTTTTATTTGATATATTCCAATTGAATCAATTTAATATATCGCTCGAATACTTAGAAAATCTTCTCATTACTTATCATCGATATACACATGATCACGAAGATTTAATACGTTGTTTTGTAATTATATCTCGCCATCAATCATGGTCGTGGTGCTCAAGTGAATTATGTGTAAAATTTTTATTTCCATTATTAAGTAAAATTGATGATGAATATCAACAGCGATTTATCATTTTAACAATTTTACAATATGTATTGTTTACATATAAAGATAATCAAGATTTTAGATGCGATATTAACTTCCATGATCAAATCAAACAATTACTCTTATCGTTAAAGACTATAAATAGTTCTGAAACTACTGTGCGAGATAAAATTTTGTTCATTCTTCATACTTGCTATTAAATAAATAAAAGCAGCATGATGAGTGGCATGAAAATCGATTTCGATTTTTAATTTTTCTTATTCACAAATCTTTTCCTGTTTCAAATATGACATGAAAAGACAAGTCTAGAAGTTAAAAATAGTATCTGGAATAGTACTATGGATAAACAACTGTCAGTTGCTCGTGATCCATGATCATATTTCGATTCTTATGGGACACAGTACAGCCAATAGATTATAGTTTGTTGGAAGAACCCGAATCGTTACATGTTGAATGTCATCATAACAGTTAGAGCAATCACAATTTTCATATCTTTAATTTAATACTTACAGTAAGTGTGCTAGCGGCATCTAACTCATGCGCAGTAATTGTACATCGATAATTCAAATTGATCGAAAATAGCAATTTTCACACAGAAGAATATGCATTCGAATTCATCGAGAGAAGTTTCTTGAAGTATTAAAATGTACTCCTCTCAATTCTAATAGTGTTAACAGTAGTGTACGATCAAATATCTAATCTGAACTGAAAATACTTTAATTATTAAAAAATAACCTTTGGGTTTTAGTAGAAAAATTAAAAACATAGAAAACAAAAAGCTAACAAAACTATTTTTCTCTCAAGAGAATCTATTTCTTATACAGTCTATCTTTCTTTCTAAAAAAGAAAGGCTTGTCGAATAGGGGTTTCGCCCTTAGTTTTTGGCTTGATTTCAACAGCTGCGAGTTTTCACACTTTTAATTTGCACTATTCAAACATTAACTGATAGCGTCTCTTCTTGGATTTTTTAATTTTCTTATCTAAAATTGTGTATATAAAGACGAGAATTTCAATGTATAAATACTTATTTTCGTATTCGATTATTTTCTCTCTGTCAATTAATTAATCGACCGAGAAGAAAATATACGGTTTGCCAGAAGGCTTAATGGTGGAAGATTATACGCAACCCGCTTCAACTATAGTTCATTTGACGTCAGGTGATCTTAACTGTCGTACTTTTATACGAAGACGTATTAAGATTTATCTATTACTCTCGTTGACTAATTAAAATGAAAAAAACTGTATTGCAAGATACACAACGTATACTGGATCTTATTTCTAAACGAGATCTTGATGACGATGGTAAGACCATCGTTTTTTTCCTATTAGAACTTCATATTAAATCTTTCTTCTTCTATATGTCTAGAAAAGAAGCAATTAATCGATGAAACTGTCGATAATTTCAATGATTATATCAATCCAGGTTTCTTAAGATATCGAAAATCATTTTCACCTGATTACGTGGCAGGTAAATTTTCTTGCTTAAAATTTTAATTGGTAACAACAATTACCTTTTTTTTTATACAGTTGAATGGACAGATAGTGGTTCAATGTTTACATGTGTTAAAGGAATTGAATACATCGATTGTTTAGGTGGATATGGTATTTATAAGTATGAAAAAATGAATTTTCTTTTAATATTTAATTGACTGAAAAAATGTTCACTTTTTCTCAGTGTTGGTCATCGTCATCCAAAAGTATTGAAAGCAGTTAAAGATCAATTACAACGTCAAGCATTACATTCACAAGAATTACTCGATCCATTACGAGGTTATTTAGCAAAAATTTTAGCTGAATTGGCTCCGGGAAACTTAAAATACACATTTTTCACAAATAGTGGCACAGAATCAGTTGAGGGTGCATTAAAAATGGCACTACTTGCAACCGGTCGTCGAGTAGTTATTGGTGCCGTTGGAGGCTTTCATGGGAAAAGTTTAGGTTCATTAAGTGCAACTTCAAAGTAAGAAAAGTATAAAAAATTTCCCAAAATTGTGTTTCTAATGAGGATATATGTGTTATTCTTTAGAGCGGTTTTTCGAAAGCCATTTTTGTCGTCGTTACATGAAATGCGGCATATACCTTTCAATGATTTAGATGTCTTGGAACAAACATTAGCTTGTCTAAAATTTACGGGTGATGATGCTGGTAGGATTTTCATTTTTACATGAAAGTTTGTTTTTGAAAAAAACGGTTTTTCTTTAGCTGCAGTTTTACTTGAACCAATACTTGGCGAAGGTGGAATTATTATACCAAATGATGATTATTTTCCAGGTGTTCGTCGTTTATGTGATAAATACGGTGCCCTACTAATAGCTGACGAAGTTCAAACTGGTATGGGAAGAACAGGAAAAATGTTTTGTATTGAACATTGGAATGTTGAACCTGATATTTTATGTTTGGGTAAAGCATTTGGTGGCGGTATCATGCCAGCAGGTAAATATTTAACGATTGTATATTTATAGACTTGTTCATAAATTCAATATCGAGACAATCAACGTATATATCTCATGTCTATTTTAATTTCTTCAGCTGCAAGCATTTTTCGAAAAAAATAAAATTCAAAGAAACTGTAGCATCGTGTAAAATATGTATGTAAAAAGGAGATTATTTGTGATACCAATACTCGATAGATTATTCGAACATTTTCAGTTATTTCTTTTTAATCTTTGTTTTTGTTTTCAAGGAGCATTTATTGGCTCGGATAAATTATGGAAGCCAATATTTAATAATCCATTTTTACACACAACAACATTCGGAGGTAGTCCATTGGCATGTGCAGCAGCAATAGCAACAATAAATGTCATATGCGAAGAACGACTTAGTGATCTTGCACGAATTACAGGTGATATATTTTTAGCAAAACTTAAAACAACCATAAAACCATATACACCGCATATAACACTTGATGCACGTGGAAAAGGTTTAATGCTTGCATTAGAATTCGTTGATACCGATATTGGTTTTCGTGTTTCAAAAGGTTTATTTCGCGAGAGAATACTTGTTGCTGGTACATTGGTTAATGCAAAAACAATACGCATTGAGCCACCATTAACAATAACATTGGAACAAGTTGATATTGTTATTATGGCTTTAGATAAAGTATTAAAAGAAATTTCAAATGAAATAAGACCTCCATCATCGAATAATGATTCACATGTTAGAACAACATCATCGAATAACGTTAAACAAACTGTGCTTTCACAACAATTGTGAATCAATAGAAATGGCAATCTATTTCTTGTTTTTTGATTGTTTGAAATATCATTTATGTATCAAATATACGTAATTTTATTTTTGAATTAAAAAGAAATTTTCATTTTTTTGCTTCATGATAAATAAAAAAAGTAAATTTGAAAGATAATGTAGCTATAGACAGAAATGAACTGTTCTAAATCAAACTCGAGTATCGTTCATTTTCTCTTGTTGTTTCTTTCTCTTACGTTATTCGCTATCTAAAATATACACGTTAGAGAAACGAAAGCGTGTATTGTCCATTTTCAGAATAAATGCATTTGTTTATTACATATCTCAACCGATGATTAGAAAATCAGTGTTCTACATTATATTCAATATTCTAAAATAATAATTCTATTTTTTAACAATATTTACAGAGTTCATACTCTTAAATAGATGAACTATTATTTCAAAAAATAAAATATAATACTGTATTCTATATGAATTTATAAAGTATTGTCATTTGCCGTAGTTCTACTTTTAGATTTATTAATAAATGAATCCGTTTGAAGACTTAATCGCTGAAACCAGTGGAAATGAAATGATAAGGTCACAGAGTTTTGGTAGGATATTTTACTTGATTAAAGCTTTTTTTATTTTTTCTCTAAAGATCTTTCCAATCCTGGAACTTCTTTATTTCAACAACCTACACAAATATCAAGTGTGTCAAGTGCTATTGGGCATAATCCTGCTCGTATGGCTGAATTTTTAGGATATCATACAATGATTAATAAGCCCACGAAAAAATTAGAAACCATCCATGAAGGTTTACCATCATCAGCACAAAATGTATGACTTTTAAAGAAAACATTTCACTATAAAACGATTTTTTTTGCTTGTCCTAGATCGCATTAAACTTTCACTCGGTGTGTTATTGATAAAATTATTCGTCTTGCAAAATTCATGCGTAGAAATTTATATATTTTAGAAACCAACCGCTGAACCTAAATTGTCGGATAAAAAAATTGTATCTATTCATGGTTCTGTTAGTTCATGGCGTAAGTTTATATTATAATCGCGAGACGAACGTCTATCTAGAATTTTAAATTTTAGATTTATGATGGACACTTTTGTTTTGATAAGATGATTTATTTGTTGTTTTGAAAACTATTGAAATTTCTTTTCTCTTATTTTGATATCTAATAAAAATGAACTAGTAACTCGATTGATAATTGAATTGATTGTAAAGTTAAATTTAGAAGAAATTATATGAGACTATTCAAAAGAAAACTATTAGCAATTAGAGTCAATAATCTAGCACTTTCATTTTTGGAATCCAAAATATTCGTTTTAGATTTAAAATCATCAGAAAACGAATTCTTCTTTTGACTCTCTGTGAAAACCGATTGTTGAACATAGGAGTTCTTGTGCATTTTTAATTACAATGCTATGCAAGCACTGTCGATCATCCTATCTTTATGAAAAATACTTGAGTGACATATTGAAACTCAAATTACTATACACGTGCAGTGTTAATGTATTCAAAAAAAAATCAATCGATTTGAAAGTTACTTCAAAACTAGAAGAACACCCTTTTCTGCATTGCTGGCATGGATAACAGCGTGCATATCTAGTGTCATCTATTGATAAAAAATCTCTTTAATTCTTGGTATTAAGCTAAGAATAAAAGCATAGAAATAAATAGAATTTCAAAGAAAAAAAAGCGTAATACAATCTATTGTTTTACATATAACTTATCATGAAAAGAGCTGGAGACCTTGTCATTTTAGCTATGGCAAGACGTGGCTATGTTGGCAAGGTATGCTCATACATTTTCTCTGTCTCATTTTCGTTTTTCACTTTATGAAAATCTTCCTATCATTTAATTGCACATCTGATCGATTTACTAGATTGTCATAAGCCTTGTTGAAGTAATTTTATTCGATTATTAATTTTAGAATTTATTTTACAACTCGAAATCAGTCGGAGAATGTCTAATCAACGAACAACATCCAGTGATGAAGATTCACTTCTGCAAGATTATAGTCGAAATGTAACAACTAAATCATGGGTTTTATTCTTTGGTAATGCTGCTGTTGTTTCAGCTATTCCACTTTGTAAGCGATTGGTTTTTTGTGTAACAATGAATTTTGCGAGATACATGTTTTCTAATTTAGGGCTGTTCTGGCGTATTCACCAAATGGATATCACATCTTATTTCATTCATTTTATTATTGGTACAGTTATAAGTACATATTTTCTCAATTCTGCTTATCAAAATATGAAATTTATTTTAAAACATAAGTAAAATATACTGCTATAAATTTCACACTAACAGACAAATTTGATTTTACTTATAGGATCGCTCAAAAACGTGAAGAAGCTGTTAATCGAGAGATAAGTAAAATATTTGCGAATGATAAAAATGCAAATAAAAAGGATAAAGATGATCGGTAAGAAGAAGGAGAGGGCCATTGAATTAACATTTTTTAAATTCTGTTTTTAGAATTTTAACACGTAAAAATGAAGTAGCAGATTTTGAAGCAACAACATTTTCAATTTTTTACAATAATTCATTCTATCTTGTTTGCCTTATTATATTGTCATTTTTTGTGTTAAAAAATTTTTCACCAACAGTTAATTACTTTTTTTCTGTTGGTTTATCAACTGCAGTTGTTTTTCTTTTTTCAACGGGAGAAAAATAAATATTAAAATAGCAAAAAACATAATTTATAAATTCTAAAGACATGCATCTTGTTTGTTTGTTGTTATTGTTCTGGCTGATTTCCTTTGTTTTTCATCGTCTTCTAAACCAGTTTTATTGTTATTCGTGTAATTATATCTAAGTTGCTTGATGATTTTCTTTTAACGTTTTGTTTTTGCTCTTAATTTATTTTAAATCTAATCATGAATACCTAAGACTTGGCAAAGAGAATAAAAAAGGAAAACATTTCGGTGTATGATCATACAATTATGAATTAATTGATTAATTTCGAAGAAAATGTATAGCTTTATATTTTACTAAATCGATTGAAATTTGAATGAATTGAAAATTCTTATTAATAGTACTTTATAAATAACTACATTATCCTATTTTTCGCTTCTCTTCTCAGATCGAGTGTATTCTAATCTTCTCTATGGAATGTATGAGAGTTAGTAAGTAGTACACTGAAAATTACATAGATATTTTCATTGGAGGCAAGTAGCAGGAAGACATGATTTTTATTTTGTGATTCAATCTATGGGAAATCGTTTTAATTGATTGCCACATTATCGGTTTTTTTCTGAATGAAATCTTACATATAATGACTTGAGAATGAACTTGTCAAACGACAAGTCTTTTAGAATGTTGTAACTCAAAATGATGTTGAGAATGAATTATATGTACGGTCATCATCAGCAATTAACATTATCTGAGACTAAATTCATAATAATGATGGTGATTTTATAACAACAAAACTATTATCGCTATTACTTACCTCGTACTCAAGCAAACATATATTATATTATTTATACTATTACAGTATTAAAGACTTGAGCTTACATATAAAAATAATAATACGTAACATACATTTACACCCTCATATGATGTTAATCAATTAGTTACTTTCCCGTGCTGCGAATATCGGATCATTTTTTTGCGGTAAACCGTGGTATTTATCCTTCCTGTGGGTAAAGGGAGCCGGTAACCGGACCGGTAAAACCGCCGATTTTCATGCGGTTTTTGTTACATGGGTTGTCAGTTGTTATTGAATATTCATACTTAATATTGGTACTAAATATTGACACTTGGTATTTGTACTTGATATTCGTTTTATTTACAACATCTACTTATTAATCATTAGTTTATGATATAGAATTAGGACATGGTTATGGTTATGGATTAGTTAATGTTGTTATAAAATCACCGTCATTATTATGAATTTACTTGAATTTAGTCTCAGATGATGTCAATTGCTGATGATGATCGTACATATAATTCATCCTCAACATCATTTTGAATTACAGCAAGGTCGAACATTCCCGAATTTTGTAAAACAATATATAAAACTGCCGATTTATTACCAACAAAATCATTGTCATTATCACTTATAGTAGCAATCTTTATTTTTTTTTTCATTTGTACTATCAGCTATTTTTAGATCTTCGAGTTCTTTAAAAGATAATTGTTTTCAATTATTCTTAACAGGCTCTCTTATTTCTATAGTTGTTTATGTTAGTGGAACAAGAGTATCTTCCAGTTAATGTAACAATTAAATCGATTTCTTTTTTTTTAAATATATAATTGTTGTAAAATAATGCCAACATATTCGTCACAATAAATTAGTTATGTTTAACTAAAATTTCTTTAAATATAACATGGAATAAAAACGGCGATGCCTTTTATCATATGTTTGATCTTATTGTAAAGAGTTGATTCATAGCCATTTGATAATCTATTTATTGTAAAAAGGCTATTCAGCGCAGTCCCTTTGGAGCTAAAATGTGGAACTCACGTATATCCTTGAAGCCTTGATAACTCAATAAAAATGTGCAAAATGAAAAATTTCTCAGATTACTGATTTTTCAGAATAATTGATCATCACAGCAAAATCTCTCTCATTTATTTTTACATTTTCAAAAGATTATTGTATTTTTGTTGACGCCCTTGTTTTCCTTCGAATTTTTTCGTTTTTTCTTCATTTTTAATTTATTTTTATTTTAATTAATAATTAACTTTTAATGTCTGTAATAGAAGAGAGAGCCGCAAAATTCTCCCCCTTAAACTTACACTCACTATTTTCTTCAAGAATATACGTGAGTTCCACAAAAAAAAGTGAATTAATTTGAATAAAATAATGTTTTCGAAATTCAACCTTAATGTTTCAGTAGATTCTCATCAATCAAAGCTATTTAGTTACAACGGGACTTGTTGCCGTGTTCAATGTTGCACTTTTCTCTTTGCATATCATAAATATAGACTCTGCCTAAATTAATACTGATAGATTCAACATACAAAAATAATATTTACTTGACTACTACAGATCCTTGAATTTTGGCCTCAATGGATCTTTAGTCTGTTCTAATTATTTTAAGTTATCACTTCTCTCAATATTTGCTTATCATACAAATCTATTTCGGACATATAAAAAGGCACTGAAAGAAAGAACATGACAGTATGAACTACAATTTGTTAACCAAACAGTATTCAATCACAAACTCTACGAGCACCATACAAAAACTGATGGCTCGAATCTCCATCGTCATGTTCATTCAACTAGCAGTATGTATTAGTAGTAAGCATAAATTCTTAGAAATAGAAACAAATCTTATCTAGCCATCTTTTTTTTCTATTAAAAAGTATCTCATGCTGCTTTAACATGTTATTCATGTAGTAATTGTGGCATAACATGGAATGATTCAAAGGCTACTATAGTCCAAACATCAGGTTCTGGTGATTATTGTCGAGTAGGTCAAAGTTTTGTTAAAATAATGCGATCATATTTTTTATCTAAACAAAATAAAATTCTAGAAAACAGTTGCAGGAGTTGTTATCAACAGAGATTTCTCGTCGTCGTGTTCATCAGCAAATGTTCTTGGTCATGGAATATTTTGTTGTGACACAGATTTATGTAATTCAGCAAACAAGCAATCGCTAACAATGATTCATTGTGGAATTTTCAGTACTTTTATATATATAATTTATCGTTATTTTTATTAAATTTAAAATTTTATCTTGATCGATAAAAGGCAGTTTGATGCTGGAATAATAATAAATAATATAAAAAAATTTTAGTTCATAAAAATGTTGATATTTTTGTGTACTCCAAAAAAATGAGTACACTCTAGATTCGGTCAGTGTGTCCGGCCGTCCGTCCGGCCGTTAACACGATAACTTTTGAAAGCCTCATCAAATTGTCATGAAATTTTGT